TTTTTATTTGTGATTTCTCTTAAAATCAAGACTTTTTTTTTTTTTTATAAGTAACATTATTTTACTTAACTGACATTTTTTTTTTAAAATGTATGTCTTTCTTTAAATGGCTAATGTGTGCTGAGTATCTGTTTTCTAGCATTTGGTATTTATTTTTACTGAGGATTTTAGGCTAACTTACTGAAATATATTGTATGTTTTATCATGTTAATGTTCTTGGAAGTTTTTTCCTTGTCAAGTCTAAGTTAATTATCTTTGTCTGCATGGGACCTTGCTTGTAATTTCCCTTTTCAGTATAGAATATTGTTATTTTTATTAGTTACGAGGAGGTGTATACCTCTAAAATATTCTGATTGAATGTTGGAATCAATTTGGAGATAGAATGTTAGATAAAAGAACTATTTAACATTGAAATTAATATAATAATTACTCTGATACAAAGGATAACAGGTTAAATGGTCAGTTCATATTTTATAAAATAATACTATAGATATCTGAAGATATTTTTTGTAATATTGTCATTGTACAGACTAATACAAACACAAAAACAAATCTCTCATAATGTAATATTGTTTATTATGAGGATGTGAAAGATTCTCCCTGTCTTTTCCCTCTCAGCTGGGATGATTATATATCTTCCTATTATCCAGTTGTCTCACATGTGCACATGCTAAATGCAGCTAGATTTGACCACCTGTTTACATGTCAAGGGGAGGGGTAGCCACTGACATCTTGTGATGCACAAAATCTGCACTTGGTGGTTAGTAGGTTACATCCTCTGTCAACTTTCTGATGCACCTGTCTACTCTGATGTTCTAATGTGACACTGAATACAATGTCTATTTTGGTACTATCTTGGGTGAGCTCAGTATATATTAGGGTCACCACAGATAAACTTCTCTTAGAACAACAGTTTCTTATTGACATTAAATTTAGTTCAGACCACCTAGTATTTCCTGGTTGAAACACATACAACATTTTGATTGAATTCAGAAATTAAGATGGGACAGATCTTCTATTTTCATGTGCACTTAATTTTATGGTGAGATTAAAAAATGGAAAAATTGACCACAGCTTCTGGAAGCAAATATTTTTTCTTTTTTATTACTAATTTTCTTAGCCTATGGCAGTTCCTTGTTGGACATCAACCTTCTTCAGATTCATGGAGAAATGGGCCATTACCTTACTGCATTGACCAAATGAATGATGATAGGGACAGATGTGACATGCTTGGGTGATCATGTCTCTTTTTCAATTCATGGAATTTTCTTCTCATTGGTTGAGTATCTGCCAACAAAGAGGGATGGAAAACTCAGCAGCACCAGAATCAAACACTGGATTACAGCAAGCAGGGCATGGACAAAACTTCCATATGGGAACACTACATGTACCGGATGAACACAACTGAGACACTGTAAGCACAAATAAGTATGAACAAATTTGAAATGATGCTGGATAACACAAACAAAAATCCTTGGTAACACATAGCAATCCTGTTGTGCGGTCAATGTGGTATACTGCAAAGCTTTCCCTTTTCTCAGGAAATGTGTCTGCTTTTATGGAGCTTAAAACTTTAATGCTTGGTTAGCAAAGGAATCATTTGCATAGCTAACACCATTCAGTTCACTGTCCTGACTATCTCATGGGGAAGTTGATAAACATTTTCTTTCTTCATAACCAGACATTCTGGGGGTTTGTTGTGGCAGGGCAGCCATGTGCTGTCTTTCTGCAGATACAGCATACTAAATGGCGTTTCTTTAACTGATAGGAACAGGTACTGTTATCAAGTAGCAATTGGATGTTCAGTCTGTATTTTGTTTCTGCTACATGATTGCTCAAGGGTATTTGCACATAAGCGAATGTATGTACCTGATTGCAATTCTAACCCAGCTTTCCAATTTCTCATACTGAGCCATCATCCCTTACACCATCTGTACATCATATACTAGATTACAGCACCTGATATTCCCAAGTGGTCACCCATATAGATACTGATCAGGCTTGACATTGCTTAACTTCAATAATTGGACAAGAACTGATGTTTCAATGTGATATAGCTGTAAGCATTTTATTACTGATACTAAAGTCATTTAGGTAATTTACATTTTTTTTCTCCACCCCCACCTCCCAATAGAAAACCATCTGTTTTGTTGTGAGATAAAAAGAAAAAAAGAAAATTCTACCAAAATAAAAATGACAGTTGCAACAGATGTTTTATTATGAACTATTGCTTCAGACACAATTAGAAAAATGTAAAGATAAATTAAAGTTTTTTAATGGAAAAATATGTCTAGATTATTTGATAGTCTCGTTACTATATTTTGTTATTTTCATTGTAGTTAGCAGCCAAATTAATGTTAGAAATAATTATACTTTTATAAATTCAATGTTGAATTATAAATGGAATGGCTTTTCATTTAAACTATTTTTTTTAGTGAGTTTGTCATAAATCTCAATTGTATGGAATCTCATATTTAAGTTTTCTTTTGTAACTATTGAAGATTAAATGGAAAGGCAATGCAATTGTGCATAATATGAATGCAAACATCATTAAAGTTGATTTATTTTTTGAAAGTTAGATAAAATGTTCATTAACAAACCTCAACAATATGGTGTTTTTCTTTCTTTTTTTTTTTTTTTTTTAATTAAATGTAAAAAAATTCAATGCTTCTGTTGTTTATTTACACTTGGACTAATGTCCTCATCTTTATTGTTATCATCACATTTCAGCCCTTGTGCCCTTTGACCTTCAAGTGTCTATCAGTCTGAGTAACCTTCAAGGAATTTTAAACAGAACTCTCTATTTAATTTACAGGGGTAGACTATTATCATTTAACTGTCTATGTCTAGATATATTCCCCCCCCTCTCTCCCTCCCTCTCTCTCTTTGTTAATCCAGTTTCCACCTCGTCTGTTCTACTTGGCCATAATAATTGTATCTCTAGATATAGGCAGCAAAATAAAAATAATCACCCATTCCTTCTCCCATGGATTAAATAAAGAGTCCAGTTAGAAATTTCCTGGAGAACAATAGACACTGAAAGAAAGCTGGATCGTACAACAGTCAAAATATATAACAACAACAGAGATAAGGTCATTAGTCTAAATGCTAATTACTCCTCATCCCAGAAATTCAGACAGAAAATACTTTTTACTACTTCTCTGCTATTTCTAACCCCGGTTCTACTGAGTCTGAGTCAGTATTACCTGGCCCAGGGATTGAACCCCCAATTACTATGTCACTTAATTCACAATCCATCATTTAAATCCTCTAGGCCATGGGTGGCCAAATTACAGCTTGTTCAACACATGCAGCTCTTTGAACTTTAATATGCAGTTTATGAAAATATGTTGGCTGAGCTCCTTTTTTTAATCACAGTTAATATAAAAGGTAAATAAGAAAAATTTTAAGCTTTATAATTATTTACTCTGTATGAATTTAATCATATTAAGGTCCACTGAGTTAAAAGTGGATCTGGCAAAATAAAATTACCCAGAAATGACAATGATTAACAAAGCAATTTTAAATACAACCAGACTTTGTAATCTTATTTATTTTATATAAAACATTGGCAAATTTTGTAATGTATCACTAAAATAGCCAGTCAGTGTTTATAAAAGTGTTGCTGACAACAAATTAGAACATATACACTTAGTATCACAAAACTACTAGTATAGAGCACCTAGTTAAAATTGAACTCACAAATCTGTAGTAATGATCTATGTGAATAGCTTACTAACCATTACTCCATGATGTCTCAGAAATAGTACCAGAATAATGTTCCAAGTTTTGTCCCATAAGCTCTAAAATATATTTATATAGTTACTTGTGACAATAGTATTAATGTTTTAATATTTGTTAATAGCACAGGAGACTAGTCTCTCTAACCTTGAGTGGCAACCAGCGTAGGAAAAGGAAAATTCTGACTTCCAGGCCATGGAGAAAGCAATAGGAAACCACTCCACTTTCTTCCCCAAAAGTCATGGCAAATCTCAGATAATAAAGAAAAGGAATATACAGAAAACCATTATTGCAAACATCCTGAAGGGACATGGCATTAAAAAATATTATGGAGAATGTTTCCATATTTGGATATTAAAACAATACTTCATATTGTATGTACAAACTATTAATGAACTTGTGAGTAGTAAGATAATGTATTGAGTGTTTGGAAGCCTGCAAGAAAACTGAAAGTATTATGCTTGCTCCATAAATATTAGGAGACTTGACAATAAAGTGGAGGTGGAGGAAAAGTCAAGAAGTTATAGGAATATTCCTGTAGGGGCTATTAAAAACAGGTAAGTAGGTAGGTATGAACACCTGTATATTAATACTGAACAAGTAAAGTAAAAATACTGCATTGACTGAAAGAAACCATATTTATATTTGTAATATAAGTAAACACAATTGTTTACTGAAGCAACCTATGTGAACAGCCTTAGTACATGACAAGCACAATCCAATATATTGGCTTAATCCTGTTGCTTGAATATCTATCCTTCAAGTGCATGTCTGCACATGCCCTCTGTTAATACGTACATTAGTTCCAGTGACCAACATTGTATTTAAATAGATTCGGGCAGACTACCTGGTACCTTATTGAAATAATGAACAGTAAAATGTTCTTTTCAAATATGACATTTGCATGGCTCTGTATTTTAACTTGTATTCATTATGTTATCTAAACATTGAACTTGTTGATATTTGTGATGGGATGCTTTATTCACAGCAGTAACAGGCAGATCAATGTTAAGGTATTCTGATAACATTTAAATCCCCCCCCCCCTTGCTGCTAGTTATTGGATTGAAATTGCTTTTTTATTTCTTATCACTTGGATTTCCTTGATGTTTTATATTTTAGAATTATTTTTTATTCATTAGGTTTCACTTATTTGGCTCTCTATTGTTGCTTAAACTCTCTCTCTCTCTGTTACACAGTCTGTGATGGAAGTTTAGAGGCAAAAATACATAAGAGTAAAACTCTCCCCCTCCCCTGAGTGATGTTTCTGCTTATCTCTCTTTTTCCCTCTATGATTTTTCTACTTGTCTCTTTTTTCCATTTTTTTTTCTCTGAGCTTTAGTCTCTGTTTCTCTCTCTCTTTTCACTCATATTTAATTTGTCTCTCTTCCTCATCATCCAATTTCTCTCTCTCTATCTCTCTTATTGTCTGTTTTTTTCTTTTCAGATCTATCACTTTGTATGTTTTTTTCTTTTTCCTCAATTGGAAACAAACAACAAATAAGAAAGAAAATGCACAATTAACAGAGCAAGAGTTTACTGATTATCGCTATCTCTTAGTTAGACTATGAACCCATATAGACAATATCAGAAGAACCTTGTGACACAACTCCTAACATATAATACACAGAATAGACAGCAAAGCACTAGAAAGATTCACAGGCTGGTATTAGGTTGTTGTGGGTAAGAGAATGGGGTGTGAATCTACGTAATGTGACTAAATAAGCTACAGGACTGGAGTGTACTGCACCTTGGCTTGAGAATTAAATATTGGTGTGGGCTGCCCACTGACATGATGTGAATTGTTCAATCCTGCTACTTTTTGTTCTTCTGTCTTCCCTTCTTCTTTTTGAATCTAAGTCTCCTGATGCGGATTTATTTCATTCATGATGCTCTACATTGTTGCTGTGAGTCTTTGGCTGTTTTTTTTTTTTTTGTTGTTTTGTTTATAGTTTCTTCTTTGTGTTTACTGTTCATTCATTCAGAACACTTCTTGTTATGTACTTCTATGTGTGTATCCACAAGGGTCTCCCTGTCTCTCCCTCTCAGGGGTGTGTGTGTGTGTGTGTGTGTGTGTGTGTGTGTGTGTGTGTGTGTGTGTGTATATATATATATATATATATATATATATATATATATATATATATATATATATATATATATATATATATATATATATATATATATATATATATATATATATATATATATATATATATATATATATATGAAAACTGATATAAATAAAAACAAATGATTTTAATTGATATCTATTAGTGGTTGTAAGTATATTATTTGAATCTAGAATATTTATTACCAATATTGTGTTCATGTACACAATCATTGTCAAAATCTATATTTTTATATACAATTTATATATTGTTTCTTTAAAATTTGATTCTTCAAAAATACACAGTTTCTGCATGAATTTCAATTACTCTAAATTGCTTTTGAATAATGTAACACATTCTCAAGGATGTCCCAAAAGTCACGAGTTTCAAAACTTATATATATATATTGCTAATAATTTTTTTCATTTCAAATTAAACAATTAGGATCTATTTTGTAAATTTAATTTTTTTTTTTTTTAATTTAATAAAAATAATTAACAGATATATTGTAAAACTTCTTGATGACTTTTGGACAACATGTGTGTCTACAATATATAATAAATATGAGAATATGTATCACATTGGATGTTCATCAGCACGTGTTTATATATCATGCATATCTCCAATTATTGTCTTCAGTGTCAGACCTTTTAACAATTTAAAAAATGTAAAATACAAGCAAATAATATGCAATGAGACTGATGCATCTGTTCTACTTCTTTTATGTACCTTGTCCATTCAGGACATTGGTGATTATGGCTCTCTACAATTTCCTGTCCTTTATAGCTCTTAGTAAAGTTTGTATTCTTGTTATCTCTCCTAAACCCTGTTGGTAAACCAACTACACACGCTTATTAGGTAGGTTATGCACTGCTTTTCACTGTCTCTTTGCCTTCACTATGTCCTATGAGTGTCAAATTTTCTAAACTATCTTTCCTCATTATGTGCCCTAGAAATTTCATTTGTCTCTTTCTGATTTTCAGTATAAGTATCTCTTTTGAGTTAATTTTTCCTAAAACTTTGTCATTGTTCACATGTTCAGTCCATAGTATTTTCGGTATCCATCTGTAGAACCACATTTTTGTTTCCACAAGTCTTTTCTTCATCTGTGATTAGATAGTTCACTAAAATAAAGAACTCTTTTTAAGTACATACATACATTGATAAGCATGTTGTTTTTTTTTTTTTTTTTTTTTTTTTTTTAAGCAGGACCAGGTTTAATCTTGCATAAAGCAAGGTAGGTTCTGTTTGACAGAGAATCTCTTGTCATAATGATTTGAGACAAGGTTTTACAAAGCTGGATGCTTTTCCAGTTGCTTATCTTGGACATACACATTAGTCTAAGTACACAGTTTTTTTTTTTATTGAGAAGAAGATTGCATTCAAAGCTTGAGGCCTCATCCTAGCTTTATATTGTGGACTCTCCTATTGTGAATGATAAATGAGGGTCAGCATTGGATGTTGCCTTTCATTTTACACTTATGCATGCTAGCAGAGGGTTATTGTGGAGAAAGTCAGGTAAGGGAAAGACATATTTCATTTGTGCTTTCTTAAGTGTGATACCAGCTCAGCCTTGCTGTGGGTGATAAAGCCACACTGACAAATGAAATTTGTTTAAGCAGGATTTTGATGGTGTCTCTGCTTCAGAGCTTGACAAAGCTGATCACGGTGCTTCAGTCTACTGTTTTTAAAACCCTTTAACTTAATGAAACATGTCTTGTACCACACCTTTTGGTTTGATGCTTGAGCTTCCCAGGTTTTCAGATCAAAGTTGAGACGTTTCAAGTTATCTTTGTAGCATAAGAGTGGATGTCCAACTGAATGCTTGGAGTTTGGTAGTTGTCCGTACAGCACCCTTTTTGGAAGCCTATGCTCATCCATTCTCACAACATGACCAGCCTACCTAAGTTATATCTTTGCTAGAATGGTTTCGATGCCTGTGATGTTGTTACATTTCTTCAGTATTGTACTATTCCTGTCATCCCATTTTATATCACATGTGGCACAAAGACAGCACACGTTAAAGGCATCAAGTTGATTTATGTACTTGCAGTACAGGGTCCAAGTTTCAGCACCATAGAGAAGGGTTGAGAGAATGACTAATCTGCATATGTCGATCTTTACTCTGAGAGACACATCTTTCATTTTTCCATAACCTATGTTTAAGTTTACTGAACGCTGTTCTAGTTTTGGCTATTCTGGATTGGATTTCTGCCCATTTTTCCATCAGAAGAGACTGTTGATCCAAGATATATGAACGTCTCAACAGTTTTTAATGCCATACCATCAATGAATACGGAAGGATTTGTTAGAGATGGATTGCCTGGTACCGGCTGGTACATTAGCTCAGTCTTCTTTATGTTGATACTGAGTCCAAATGCTTTAGCAGTTTCAGAGAATTTATCAAGGATAGTTTGAATGTCTTCTAGACTGTGTGCTAATAGAACAGCGTCATCTGCAAAGAGAAAATTGTGTACCAGCTGCAGACAAGTTTTGATTGTGTTTTAAAACTGTGCTGATTGTATAGACCTCCACTTGTTCTGAATTCAATATTGACTCCTTCACTTAAGTCAAAAAATGCTTTTTCAAGCATAGCAGAAAAGAAAAGTGCAAAAAGAACAGGAGCAAGAACGCAACATTGCTTTGTACTGTTGGAGACAAAAAAGGTGTCTGATTGCTCATTTCCTGACCTTACAAAAGCTTTCATTCCTTCATGAAAGGAGTAAATAATATGGAGCATTTTTTCTGGAACACTTAATTTTGACCAAAATTTTCCAAAGAGCAGTTCAAGATACAGTATTGAAAGCCTTTGTGAAGTCTTCAAAAACAACAAATAGATCCTTGTTTTGTTCTTGTACCTTCTCCTGAGCCTGCCGAGGACAAAAAGATCATATCCATGGTCCTTGTGTGTGTGTGTGTGTGTGTGTGTATATATATATATATATATATATATATATATATATATATATATATATATATATATATATATATATATATATATATATATAGTAGAGCCCAGTGTTGCCGGGGATGTAACAGTAAGAGATAGATCAAGTATCGACCATCATAAAGACTGAAAAATAAAATTGACAAAGATTATTGTTTAAGGTTGACGGACACACATGTCTTAATCATTTTTTTTTTTTTTTTTTTTTACGAATTGGTCAAACTCGAACAAAAACATTATTTTCAATCTTTATGAGTCTACTGATTGAATAGAATTTTATTATAAACAATTGTCTTGTAAATGGAATTTTTAAAGCATTCTGAATGTAAAAATAAAGAAAAAAAGTATGCAAGACAATAAGAAACACTACCTGCCAAAAAAAAAGTGACATTTTGTTGAAATCAGTTGAAAAATGTAGGAAATCCAATCCCATATATAAATGAACACACACACACACACACACAAACAACCTGAGTTTTATAAGTATAACTCGATATGAGTTGTCCCCCTTTCATTTTCATGATGCCTCTTAATCGTGTTTTCAAATTGATTTCATGCAAAAACAATTGTTTTTCCAATTTTTGGCGATGTTAGAACCACTGCAAGGTAATTTTACGTAGTCCTGTGAAGTTTTGTTGAAATCGGTTGAAAAATGTAGGAAATCCGATCCAATATATAAACGTATACACACACACACACACACACACACACACACACAATCTGTGTTTTATAATAAGTAAGATATACACATACACGCACACACACACACACGTTTTATTAAAAATGAATGACAAGGTACTGCAGTTTAGTTTTTTTTATTTGATTTTTCTTGTGTTCTTATAATTTTCTTCTTTTTTGGGCATGAATTATATAAAAACCGTCTGAATGTTCTGCATGTCCAAACACTTTCTTTGATACTTTTAGCTGTTATCTAGGGTGATTTTAGTTTTACTTTTAACTTAATGTATGGATTGTTTTATGTGTGCATCTAGAGTTATAAGAATGTTTTATTTCCCAAACATGGTCAGCACATTGTGGCCATGTTCACAGTTGATTTTATTGATTGTTGGCTTTTTCTTTTTTATTAATAATGCTTAAAGCCAACGCTTAATAACATCAACTATGAACATATCCACAATATTCAACTTGTATAAAAGAAGAATTACTGCCCAAATACACAATTTTATTTATATATATATATATATATATATATATATATATATGTGTGTGTAATGTACAGGGTGCAATTTGTAAATTGTCACCATTTTATATTTTTAATTTTGCGTTGTAGTGGTTGTTTCTGATTTTGTTAATTGCACAATATAGTAGGCTCAGTTGGGCACCATCTGTGAGAAAAGTAGCACTATGATGCAATTTACTCTGCCAGATATTTGGAAATGGCATGCTATACTGCTTGGCATTCATACTGGAAGCTTCAATATAAACATTTCAGAGTGTTTGGGTGTCAATCTGAGGACACTGCAGAGGATTTGGAAAGAGTTGGAAGAGTTTAATCATGTTTACAAAGGTACAACAGTTTGTTCTGATAAGAAAAGAACTCCTAAATTTGTTGATGAGGGCCTCAGACTCAACATGAGGCCTACATTAAGTGCCTTGAGGAGGTAATTCTGCTCTGGGTCAAGAGGATGCCTACTGGAAGACCCTATGTCTGGCAACAGGACTCTGCACAATGCCACACAAATAGGAAAACCCAGCCATGGCTATCAGGCAATTTCTGCAACCACATCACTCCTTACATCTGGCCACCTAACTCCCCAGACTGCAACCCCCTTGATTATTATGTGTAGGGCGCAATTGAGCAAGAGACAAACAAAACTACTTGTAATACCAAAGATTAATTGAAGGCAAGGATTATTGCAGCATTTACCAACTTAAACAAGGAACCCATCCAGAAGAGTTGCAGGAGATCCTGAAGTTGTTTTGAGGCCGTGGTTGAAGCCAATGACAATTTTTATTGAATAAATTTACTCTTTA